AGTGAGAAATAATGACTTGGATTGGTGACACCTGGGAGATCCCAGACCAAGGTCTTGAAACCTGGTTTGGATTAGCTCAAAGCACAACCCCAGGAAGTGAATCTGAAACCTTCCACTTGGTACAACTGAGCCACTCACTGTCTATACTTAACTAAAACCTGAAAGAACCAGGGATGCTGGAAATCTGAAACAAAAACAGAAATTGCTGGAAATGCATCTGTGGAGAGAAATCAGGGTTGACTTTTCTGGTCCAGTGACCCTTCCTCAGTTACTGCTGAGATTTTCCAGCAATTTCTGTTTTTGTTTCACTGTCTTTGCTTACTCACTGACCTTAGTTTCTCAACTTCTCATATTCTTCAAGCTTTTAGCATTATTACTGAAAAGAGAAACACGTTGTTGAAGCTTTTTTCATTTTGCACTTATCAGGTCACATGGAACAATAAACCAAATTTCAAGCAATAACAACAGTTTGCGCTATGGGAGGGAAGGATGGTGATTAGTTGGTAAGTCAACTCCCATTGGCCAGGGTGGTCGCCATGTATCTCTAATGTTACACAGCAGGAACCCAGTGATAAAAATCATTTATATTTAAGGTGCCCTGAGGTACAGGATCAAAAATACTGGAAGGAAACCACCTGGTCTCAAGGAGGTGGGTTTTAAGCAGGACCCAGTGGTAACGAGAGTCTAGATCAGTAACCAGACACGTTCCACTTGGTGATTTCGCAGAGAGTAGCACACCACCGGTAGTGGCAGGGAGCTGGTCTGAATCATTAAGTTGCCACTTGTAGACAGACTGGGGCTCAGCTGGAGGTGGTATTCAGGCCTGGGGCAGGGTTGGTGACAAGGCCTGCTCCTGTCACTGCCCCCATTAGCAGCAGTAGCAGCATCCCCTCCACAGGCCTAGGCTGGTCGCCATAGCTACACAGCTCCTCAAAATAAAGACTGAGACTTCCTCAGACACTGCAGGATGGAGGCTGCCACAGAATCTCCCCCCACCTTCAATTGAGCAGCATTCCCAGAGACAACATTTGAACTGTGTCTTCTCTGGGAAGATCTCATAAGCTACCAATGAGTTGGGCGGCAGGGAACGGGGTGGAAATGAAGATTTGGAAATGGTCTTGCCCTGCCATTGTTCTTAAAGGAGATAGGATCCCATCCATTTTGAGGCATTTGAACCACCATCTTTTCATGTACTCATTCCTTTATCACCTCCTTTTATCCCATAGCTCTCTGTTCACTTAATCTGCTTTACATCTTTCTGCTCTGTTGAGACCTCACAAACCTGAAACATTAACTCAGTTCCTCTGTCCACAGAGCCTCCTGACCTACTGAGCGTTTGCCAACATTTTCCGTTTAGTTGTACGATTAGTTTATTCTCCTAAAACACTAACTCTTCCTGTTCCCAATCTACACATAATACACATATACCACGACTAACTTATGGCACTACAACTGTAAGAGTAATAAAGGATGTATTACACTTTGTCATATTTTGGATATACACATCAGAACTTCACCGGAGGGAGTTTAATGCAGACTGGAGTGATGAGCTTGTGTATACAAAACAAATCGCTGGTTGTCAAGTCAGTTGCAAAACAGTAATAACACAAGTAAGTTTTCCAGACAATATTAAACCACAAGAACTAGGCTCTGGTTTTTTTTGAACGTCAGCAGAACAGCAAGATGGAACAGTTGTGAAACATTTCTAATCCTTTGCACTGAACACGTTTTTCTTTAAGTGACTTTGTGTAATTTTCATGCCGATGATGTGACAGGAGCAAAAAGGCGATCTTCTAGTGAAGGGTCTAACCCAAAGCATTAACCCCGTGTCATTGCTTTTTCGATGTTGACTCGCCAGTTCCATATTCCCAGCATTTTCTGTTTGTGCATCACCGCTTCTTTCGGACGTTCCTTCGCCAAAGCGGTGCCACAACTGGCGAGATATCAGATTCACCGATAAAACAATGATTAACACAGAGTAACTGATCATACCCAGAACATGTTTACTCAAACTCCTTCTCCCCACCCAAAAAAAGCTGTCATTACTGTTTGAGTCTGTGTTGTTGTACCAGGGGGGGAATCTGCATTTGTGTGGCTGTTTGTCCTACATTGACTGAAGGAAGAAGACAATGTTGATTCTGCTTTTCCTACAATAAAGGAGATAAACTCCAACACTCACTGCCTCCTTTCCAGAATTACTGGGGTGTATTTAAATCAATGGTGTTTGGGGGAACAACCTGGAGTGAAATTCGAGTAGTCGATATTGTGCTTTGGGGGTTGAGTGTAATCTTCTCTGCCTATCATTCAATATGACCGTGGCTGATCCTGTATCTCCATGTTATCATAGAATCCCTAGAGTGTGGAAGCAGGCCATTCAGCCCATTAAGTCCATTCCCACCCTCCAAAGAGCATTGCACACAGACCCAATCACCTTCCTATAACCCTGCATATCTCTGGACACTACAGGCAATTTAGCATGGCCAATCCAGCTAAACTGCACATCTTTGGACTGTGGGAGGAAACTGGACGACCCGGAGAAAACCCACACAGACACTGGGAGAATGTGCAAACTCCATACTGAGAGTTGTCTAAGGGAGGAATCGAACCTGTGCCCCTGGCACCGTGAGGCAACAGTACTAACAACTGAACCATCGTACCTCCCACTTAAATTCTCATATTCTCCCCCTACTCCTAATGCCTTTAAAATCGAAAAATTTACCTATTTCTTTCTTGAATATATTCAGTGACTTGGCCTCCACAACCTTCTGTGGTCGACTATTCCACAGGTTTGCTACCTTTTACATGAAATGTTTCCTCACCTCAGTCCTAATTCATCTCAACCACATGTCCTGAAATTGTGTTCCCCTGGTTCTAGACTCCCCAGCCAAGGAAAACATCTTCCCTGCATCAAGTCTGTCCACCCCTGTTAGAATTGCGTATACTACAATCAGATCCCATCTCATCCAGCTAATGTACCTAGGCTGTACATCCCCTGACACTGTGGGGTATTTTAAGATGGCAATCCACATCTTTGGACTGTGGGAGGAAACCGGAGCACCCAGAGGAAAGCCACGCAGACACAGGGAAGAATGTGCAAACTCCACACAGTCGTCCGAGGGCGGACCTTGGCACTGTGGGGCAGCAGTGCTGACCACTGAACCACCGTGCCACCCTGTCTGCTAAGGTTACTCTCTACATTACTTTAAATGAGCTCCAGAGCTGCAGGAGAACTCCCCAAGGACTCCGCCCCAGCCCTCTGAAAATGAACCTGCTCCCACCTGCCCCTGTGCCATTCCCTGGTTGTACCCATCCAACTGAGCTCGTCAGGCCTCAATCTGACACATTGACTCCTCTTGGCAGGTCAAAAGGAGTGGGGATCTCAATAGGGGTGAGGTGGGGCTGCTGCAAACAAAATGGACAGGCTGCTGCTGGAACAGGAGCAAAAAAGCCATGTAAAGGTATGAATGTGGGAACAAAATAAGGGTAGGCCACTCAGCCCTTGGAGCTCACTTTCCAATGCAGTTAGATCACTGCTGAACAAAACAAAAAAAAAGACCGTGGATGCTGGAAACCTGAAACAAAAACACAAAGTCCTAGAGAAACTCAGCACATCTGGCAGCATCTATCCAGCAAGAGAATCAGAGTTAACATTTCTTGTCCAGGTCTGAAGGAGAATTAGGGTCTTGTGACACAGTGATAACGTCCCCAACTCTGAGCCAGGAGCTCTAGGTTCAAGTCCCACCTGCTCCGAGGTTGTGCAGTAACATTCCTCAGGTCAATGAGGAAGTATCTAAAAGCAATGCTTTGGAGTTAAATGTGAGAATAGGATGCAACACATTTGGATGACTGTTATACTGCATGTTGTGATGTGAAGCTGGTGCACTTTGGGTTAGACAGTTATATTTGTGCTTACTTTTTTCTCCTCATAATACAGATGCTGTGCCTGACCTGCTGAGTATTTCCAGTATTTTTTTTTAATAACAGATTTGTAGCATCTACAGTATTTTTGATTTTGTCTTTGGTGTCTAGTCGTTGACTAGGAACAGGAACCCTCGCCCAGCATCCTTTCCCAAGGCCAGGCGAGGCATAACACACTCCCCATATCTAACCATCACTGCACCCAAGCAGCCAGCTCTGTGCAGACTCTGGATTACCCAGAGAAAGAGTCTACTCAATAACAAAATCCACATTTTCAAACTTTCCAAAATGTCACCGCATTATTCCACACCCAGAAAGTGGCGTGCTGGAGAATGAGTGGGGAGTGAGACTAACTGAGTATACAACTGGCAATTGGACAAAGATTCTTATACTGTAAGAATCGATTGTTCGTCAGTAACTCCTAGTGAAGAGAGGATTAAGGAACCCATTGCAATTCTCCCAGACCCTTTTCAGCCCTCTGTGAAATTGAAATTATACAGAATCATTTCACCAAACTATGGAAGAGAGGCGAGGTGTGAATGGGACATTTGAAGTAATTCGGGGTAGAGTTGGGGACACGTGAAACTCAGTTAAGTTCCCAAGTAGATTCACTGCCAACTAGCAGTAAAAATAATTACACCAGTTGGGGTGCTCAGCGGTGACCATGATCATAACTGGGTATTATAGTAGAGGTCAGTTCCTGAACAGAACTGGAAAAGGATCCTTAGTATAGAGTCAATAACTTTCTTCAAACAGGTACAGTACAACCAGAGTGGTACATTGTTACATGCAGTCATATAGATCAGTCCTAGGTTATGTAGTGCCTGTTGGTTTTCCCTTCCGGTTAAATAGTCTACATTTCGATATGGTCTTCCTATAAAAAGACAGAAGCCCAACTTTTTACATAGAGGTTCGGTTCTGGGTAGCCCAGCTATGATAGAAAGAGGAGAATTTTTTTCTGTTTGCAAGACAGAGTCCAGTCAGTCACAATGTTAAAACATCACTGAACAGATGACCCCAGGAGATTGAACCTGCCTCCCACAGACACCCGGTAGGATTCAGCCCAGTGAAAAGGTGCATACCACTGTTGCTTGGAGTCGCAGACGTTCTCTTGCTGCAGTCCTGTCGGGTTCCTGCTCCACGGGGGCACACGGACTCCAGGGAATGAAGAGGAGTACAGCACCCAGTACTCTCAAGGTTGAGGGTCGCCGGAGCGAATGTTGCAAAGTCATCATGCGCCCCTACCCTCAGAAATACAAGACAGTTCACAGTAGCGGGTTGGTTTGTAATTGGTTGAGTCGTTCAAGTGAAATCTGTGCAGTCATTTCGAGAAGAGGTGCAGCTAGCTGGAGAAGAACCCCACTTGTTTTCCTCTCAATTACACCAGAGTCGGTCAGAGTTCTCTGTTCAACAACTCGGTGCTTGACTTTACAAGCAGCCGGAATGCCAAGGGGTGTGTGCGCCTTTTGGCTGCGGAGGGACAGTAATCAGAAAGAATATGAGCCAACTGCAGTTATTAGCACCACCCAGCAGCCAGCCGGCTAACGGGGACCGTAAGTCACCGCCCAGTCCCCTTTTAAAAGGGCAATGCTTTGGTGTTGGGGCGGGGCGTCACAACAGGAATTGGACTGTAGTTATACGGCACCCTGTGAGGTGAGGCTGGTACACGTCTGGAGTTATGCATCATGTTTGCGCGCACTTTTTTGTAACAGGAGTGATTCCACATTCCTAGCAGAAAGCATTCTGACGCACCACTACACACACAGACCAAATCTTAAATTACATGAAAACGATAGTATCCTTCCCACTAGCTTTACAATCCGCCGAGATTTTTGCACTTTCCACGCCTCATATGCAGCTCCCAGTTCCTCCAGCCCATTGGCCATGGTATCTTCAGCCAGATAGAGAAACGAAGAGAGTACCTAAACGAGCATTGATCCCTTCCTTAGAAGAGGAGACTGGGAACTTATTCATGAGATGTAGCTAGCACTAGCTAGGTCAGCATTTAATACCTAGAGAGAGCTAAGAGTCAGCCACATGACTGTAGATTCAGAGTCACATGTCGACCATAGCAAATAAGGACAGGGGTGAACCAGTTGAATTTCACCCAACAACAGTTTCAATGGTCATAAGCTGGCATTAAAAGCCTAATAATTATTGAATTCAAATTCTACCATCCGCCACTGGGGGGGGGGGGGGTGGAAGAGAAAGAGGGGGATGCAAACCGAGGTCGGTCGGTCGGTCAGTCAGTTAATCAATCAATCCCCTGCAATTAAAAATAATAGCAAAGACGAGGGCTTTGAAGAGGTAGATTGTAACAAATAAGATAGTAGGAGACAGGCAAGTTCAAGAATAGTTGAATATCAAGAGGCAAACGGGAGAGTGCAAGAGGAACAGAGCACGAAGTAGGGCAATTATGCTACAACTGAAGAGGATATACTTAGCTTAGTGTGTTGTTTTGGTCTTGCCTGGAGTGGCTTAGTCCTAGGATGACAAAGATTGGAGTTGAAAAATAATGGCTTGAGAGGGGGCATGAGAGAAGATGGGTTGCCCAGAAAGCTAAAGGAGGGAATCCAATCTGTGAAAAGAATATCTAATATTTAAACACGGAGATTTGAGTCTTTAGATTAAAATATGCTTCCAGGCTTCAATTTCAACTGTTTATATTCATTAACCCAAAAGTTAATTTTTAAAAAAAAACCTACAGTAGAATTCAAGAGTCTGGAGGGCAGGCAGGCAGGCAGAATGGGTCAAATAACCTACTCCATCTTCTCTTAATTGATTGTGATTATATGGGTATTGATCACCTAAAAAAGACGTTCCTTATCAACATCTCATTGGTATCCTTACTAAAGGTTGAGTGCCCTGCTCTTAGTTAAAGTAATGGCATTGAATTTTTGCTTTCTACCCTCGCATACAGCCACAACAGAACATGTTAAAAGACGACTCTTAGGACCATGCAGTACACCCTTATCACACCTTTGCAGCAGGTTGAATTTGAACCAGGGCCTGCTAGACATTATCACATCATACAACTTGTCTGCCATTTGTTGACATTCACAAATCCTCAGCATGTTACTCAGAGTTACTGATCTACTGTAGACAGCATGGCATATGGTTTCACAGTTCAGCATTATTGACTTTACTATAGTAACGATCTTATTAGAACTCAAAATGTGCACTAGGCCTTCAAACAAATTTTACTCAGTACATGATTTAATAACTTCTGATTTTTTGTGAGCAAGGTATTTTAGGGGTCTTCCTCAGGCTGCCACCCACCACGAAGATCTCTGCTAGTGTTGTTCAGGCAGGAGATCTCTCCACAACTGCCACTCGTTATCAATCCCTATATGTGCAAGTTTACATTATAGGTCATGGGCTGTTTCATATTTCTACATGAAACAAAACTATTTACAGATATTTTCCATAGATTGTATTTCCCAACTGATAGCAGAAAGGCAGTACAGCATTCAAAATTAGTTAGTGCAATGGCTGCCTCGGGACTAGCTCAACATAATTCACAAATTTAATGCCCAAAAAAGAGCCATGCCCTTGAATTGCAAAGATACTCCTGTTGTAATAGATTACCTTTGCTGGGATATGAAAAAAAGTTACAAAAAAGTTAAACTGGGGATAATGGTTCAGTTCTACTTGGCTTGCAGGGAAGTAACTTCCCCTCGGTCCCCTCCACAATTTGAAAAAGTTGCCACAAGTTCCAAAAAAAAAAAAAAAAAAAAAAAAAACTGGACTGCAGTTCTTTCATCGTTTAGAGAAAGACTTCCAATTTCTGGAGCATAATCAACAACTTAGATTTTAACAGCCACTGTATTGCTGATGCAGAAGTACTGCTGCATTCCAGAAGTTGGAGAAGTATTTAAATGACAAAATGTTCTCAAACTATTATTATAATCTGCAACAAAGTGCAAATGCAGTCTGTTGAAAGAACAAACTAGAACTTCGCAGACATATAATCAGTGGTGCCCTGCAAAAAGTTAACTTTTAATCAATCTCACTTTATCCTCAGTTTAAAAAAAAAAATTGGTCCAGTCTGTAGAGATTCTCACTTTTAGGAAATCAGGTTTTTATTCACTTCATTAACTAGCCTGGATGATTGCAGTTTAGCATCAGCCAAGTCAAAGCAGCCCATTTGATCAGTACATCACTTCAACCTAAAGAGGTTCACTTCCTTCACTATTGGTATGCAATGGCAGTAGAGCGTACCATCTACAAAGTTGCACTGCACCAACTTGCCAAGGCTTATTCAACAACACACCCAGATCACATTACCTCCTACAAAAAGGCAGAAACATGGGACCACTACAACAGCTAGGTTTGCCTCCAAGACCTAATGTGGAACTGTATCTTACTATCATTAGGTCAAAATCCTGGCACACCTAGCAGGTACAGCGAGTACACAGGAACATTGACAGCAGCTCATCACTACTTTCTCAAAAGGCAATTAGTGATGGAACAATAGATGCTGGTTCAAGTCCTGGGAAATAAAATTGAGCTTGCATCTAATTATGTTATTCTGTGTAAATGAATGCAGATAACTGAAAAATGCACAGCCTGACTGACTTCAAACTGAATTGGGAGAAAAACAGTAGCACAATCTTAACTAGTGGGGCCAAAAGAAAAAGCATATTACAAGGGCTCTGTAAAAACATTCACCAATGAAGAAAATGATAAAGGGCTGGAGGTCAGTCTAAAACACATCTCTTCCTTATACATGCTTAATTGTGGCTTGTTAAAATTTTCCCACAGTATACCCAAAAATAATCAGCTGACATTGGAAAGCTATTCAATTTAACTGAAATGTATCTTTTACTCCATTTTTACATGTGGGAGCTCCCACTGCTAAGTCCACAGCAAATCAAAGTTTTGGGAGTATTTTGGTCTCTAGCCCAATAATTATAACGTCTGCAGCAGCTGATTTTAATCTTTCAACTATTGTTAGCTGAAAGCATCACCAGATGAGACTCCAAGCTCTAAAACGTCTTCCCCAAACTTCGTAGTCACTCAATTTACATCTTTTGATATCAGCCCTAAATTTGTGGAATGGTGCCAATTTCAGTTTGACAGAGCTCGTGAAGCATTTCATTAGGTTAAAAGTTGCTAGAGTCTGACAGAAATCATTAACTCCCTGTGTACACTGGCAACTCTTGATACCTTATTGTCAAAGATCCAGAGCTGTAGTGAAAGTACAGTAGTTTCAAAGGAAAGCCAAGAGAAATAATTCACATCAACTCAACTTTGGTTAAGCTTTGGAGGACATTTCAATTTGCAAAATTAGTATGACAAAGCAACCTGAACAAAATGGTTATGAGAATATCCACAACAGGAACTAACCACACACCAGTAAAAATGATTGATGTTTTAATTAGGATTCAATCCAGTAAATTTGATCAGGGATGCCAAATAACCAATTGCATTCTCCTTCTTCAAAAGACTGCTAAAAATAGGGAAGAGAGAATATTGAAAAAAAGAAAGTGTGGGGAAAGCTAAACAACACTCCAGGGTTACGTTATTAAAAATTTAGCACACCAGGTCTAGACTAATATGAAAATAGTATTTATGCAAACACTAACTCTTTGTAACAAGAGTATCAAAGGCAAGACTCAATTAACTACTGAACAACATTGGTCACAGTTGTATTTTGAGAACCAGGACACATGAATGAAGCTTATTCTAGACAAAAAAAAGGTACAAAGTTAATTATGACCGATGTATCAGCTCTTAGTCCTACCATGTTCCACTGTGGACACCACCCCCCAGAGAAATGTCAAGTTTACACTAATGACCTTTACATAATAAGCTTGCAAAAATGAGAAAAATCATAACCAGAAGTTCAAAAGAAATTCTAGTATTAATACAGAGTATTCCATGAAAGAATAGTAAATGCATCTTCTAGGCACACTTGTGTCACAAAAATGCTTGGAGTAACTGCTGTAGATGCATTTAAGTACTGACTGGTACTAAACAGCCACATCCCAAACATGGTCACTGCAATATCTTGACTGAGGTGCTTTATCAAGTGGTTGTCACTAAATAACAAAAATGGTAAAACTTGCAAACAAACAGAAGACCTAATGCTAATCTACAAATCAGAGTTTGAGAGAAGTCTTTCTTTCTAGACCCAGGAGGACTGTAACAGATCAGCATAATTATCCTGACCAAGTGGGGGAAGCACCTTACAGCTTAGCAGATTTATCCCAGAACCACAGTCCATGTTTCACAACTCTTTTGAAGCACACCATTGTGGTCAAAAGGCACTTCATGAAGCTTTTCAGTATTTTAGGTTCCAGTTCCACCTGCTCCAACAGTGCATCATAACACACCTCGACAGAGTGATTAAAAAAAACCTACTCAGAACACAGGGGTGTCACAATCAGGTAGTCTCAAAGGCAAAGTGAAAAACAAGGGCAGCATTATGCGAAAAGTTGTCAGTTAAATTGTAAAAGCAGAGTTGAGTGTACAAAGATGACCGTAAAACTGGAGTGCATCGATCACTAAGCTACTGCAATGGATATCACTGGACCAATAATCTAGAGGTGACTAGTGAAAAATCAAGTTGCAAATTTAAGTTGGGTTCAGGTCATTTAGTGGAAGCAGCAGCTAATCAAGAAGCTGTGTCAATGCTCTTCACTGGACGAGAAGATGAGCAATAAAATTTGTTTCCCACAATATTACACACTGCTGCAGACTTTTTCCACTTTTACTAAAGAGCTGTTTGTATACCCAATTAAAAAAAGGATGATGCTCTGTGGTTAAAAAGATTTTTTTTAACAAATGGTAGACTAGACTAGGAAATAATGAACTATACTGCATTGTTTGAAGCCTATGTCTGTAAAACCTAAGAAGTATAAAACAACCCTGTCCACCCCATTGAAAGAAAGGAAATCCAAGAAGTCCACAACTGTATGCCAGGGCTTCATAAGCAAGACAAACATTGCTCATTTCACAATAAAAATGCTTAGGAGATCAACTTGACCAAAATCAGCAACATGGCTGTTATTGTCAAAAGTAGCAGCATATCATACAATACTAAGACATGCAAGTGGGCCCACACTAACTTTTATATTGGATGTCAAATTAGCATTCAGAAAAATTAGCAGCTGGAGATTAATCATAGAATCCCTAGTGTGGAAACAGGCCATTCAGCCCATTGAGTCCACACTGCCCTTCAGAAGAGCAGCCCACCTAGCCCGACCTTCCTATCCTATTCCTTTAACCCTGCACTTCCCCATGGTTAATCCACCCAAACTACATATCCTGAGACACTATGGGCAATTTAGCATGGCCAATCCATCTAAACTGCACATTGGGAGTAAACTGAGACACAGGGAAAACCTGCAAACTCCACAGGCACAGTTGCCAGAGGCTGGAATCAAACTTGGGTCCAGTGCGCTGTGAGGCAGCAATGCTAACCACTGAGCCAGTGCATCAGCCCAAGGGAGGGGGACTGGAAACAGACAGGTGTGCCTCAAATCCAATACATTAAAACATTGGATTTTACTGTTTGGTATGTATAATTAAAACAATGTGGAGCAGTTCCGTCATCTCCTGCAATACAATGATGTAAACAACTGAAATAAGCAACTACATTCCTAGGTTAGAGTTTACAGTACAGTAGAAAAGGCCAAGTTCCAAGGCCACACTACATGAAGTTTCACCAAGGATACTTAAAGAATGGCCAGATGAATCCTTACAGACATGAAAGTACCAACTGAAAAAAGTTGTCATTAGCCAACACGCTTATTGCTATAGGACATTAGAAGCCAAACCATTGGATACATACATTTTTATTGCAGATTTCAAGTTGAGAAAAAAGCAACATGTTTAGTATCCATTATTAAAAGTTAAGACCAACTTCAACGTAAAGTACTGCAGTCATTTTTTTTGTTTTTTTTAATACAATTTATGAATCCCTCTATACAGAAATAGGGAAAGATACCACCCAAAAATGACAAGGTAAATGAACCACACACTGTTGCATACAAGTGTACTGTTCACAGGAAACAACCAGTAATGACAATGCTACTGACCCAACTAGAGTAGTCAAAGACAAGTCACTGTCCAGGCAATTTATTAAAAATTCATTTTAATCTTTGTCTTCAAATACATACTATGAAAAAGTACATTACATTGCATCGATGTTAAAGCACCACTAAAGCAAAAAAAAAAGAAAATTCTTGTTCCCAGCATGCTTTCAGTAAGGCCTGTCACGTCGATCTGATCTGTGATCACTTCTGAAATTGAAAATAAAATAAAATTATCCCCACAGATTTCAATATTAGCAATGCTTCAAATTCTTCCATAAGTTTCTATTAGATAGTAATGCCTGCATGGAATTCTGACAAATGCCCACAACTGAAAAGTTTAAAATTAAAGGTTGAGACAAAAAAAATTATTAATTCTGGAAACTTGAGGTAAGTGGAGTTTTGGTTTTCAGCATTGTGAAGGTCAGATCTGTTTTTCAGAAAGGGTCTGCAAATCATTTGGAACACTGAACCAAGTACATCCTGTCCAATAAATCATTTGGCTTAAGTCAACGACTCAATTACCTGGTGAGTGTAATTACAACTTATTGTTGACTTTAATTATCAAAAAAAGGACCTTTTCAAAGTCTAACTTAATGTAAACAAGAAAGAAATAAAGTTTGATATTGTCTGCACATCCTTGCATTAGGCAAACAATTGTGCCAAATTTAATATTTAAAAATAGTTGTTTCAGGTCAAGGGTACTTATGGCATTCAGAAACAAGAGACAAGGTTGGTTGTTTTTCTTCCACCTAGGAATTCTATTTCGATACATACCTTCCTCCTCCCATTTTTCCTGAGCCAAAGCCACGATCACCACCTCTGCCTCCACGGAATCCACCACGACCTCTAAAGCCACCTCTTCCATGATGATGTTCTAAGCAACAGGCAAATGGTTTTAAAAATTAAAATTCAGATGTGGGGGGAGGCTAACAGCAAGTTTCAGGGAACAGCTAGGTTTCCGTATTGGAAAGATGGTACTTGGAATTTAAAAAACCAATGGCCTCAACATTAAAGCATTTAGCCATTCCAAAAAAG